TGCTGCTGCAGGCCCTCAAAAATGAAATTCGCCACTGGAGCCGCGTGGCGGGGCCCCCCCTCTGCAGCTCAGGGGGGCCCCCGGGGCCCAAGGGGGGCCCCCCGGGGCTGCAGAGGGGGGCCCGGGCTGCTGGCTGTCCCTCCTTGGGAGCCCCCGAGGGCCCCCCCAGCCGCGCGGGCTCTGGGGGCCCCCCGGGGGGACTCCCAGAGACAGGGGGCCCCCAAGGAACAGCTTCTAGGGGGGCCCCTGTCTCTGTTGAAATGTGGCTGCCCAGCAGCCCCAGGGGCCCCGGGGGCCCCTGGGCCCCCAAAGAGGGGCCCCCCGGCTCTCAAAATGACTTTGTGACCCCCGTGGGGGCCCCCGAGGAGGCCCCTCTGCGGGCCCCCGAGGGCACTGGGGGCCCCCTGGGGGGCCCCCATCTGCAGCCTTTACCCCTGGAAAGGGGGGCCCCTCTGCTGCTTTTGGGTACTCAAGAAAAGCAAAAGGGGAGAAGCCCCCTGCTGGGCTCAAAGGAGACAGGACCACAGACCCCCGAGCAAGAAGTAAAGGGGAGGGGGCCCCCCAGGGGGGCCCCCACGGGGGCCCCCACAGAGGGGCCCCCGGGGGCCCCCACAGGGGCCCCCACAGGGACCCCAAAGAAGACCCAAGATGGCGTTGCTGCTGTTCTTGCTGCTGTCCGGCGTGCCCGGTGAGCCCCGGAGGCATCAAGGGTTTAGGGTTTAGGGTTTAGGGTTTAGAATTTGGAGTTGATAGCTTGTCTCCGGTCCAGTATTTGGTGGTTTCGTCTTAAGAGTGAAGCAGACGCTGCGGAATAAGGGACCTAAAGTTCAGGGCTAGGGTTTGGGGTTTAGGGTTTAGGGTTTAGGGTTTAGGGTTTAGGGTTTGTGCGGGCTCAGCTCTGAGCGGAGTCTCGTGGCCCCGCCCCAAATAGACTCCGAGACTGAAAACATAATTAATCTTTCTTTTAAGGGTACAGAAAAGGGAATGGATTTAAATACTTTTAGAGACAAAGTTGTGGGGCCCCTCCTGGGCTTGGGGCCCTTCTTAGCAGGTCAGCAAATCACACACACCCATACAAAGGGGCCCCTCAGGGGCCCCCAGAGGGGCCCCAGAGGGGCCCCACAGGGCCCCCCACAGGAACCCCCACAGGGGCCCCCACAGGGGCCCCTCGAGGGGCCCCACAGGAACCCGCACAGGGGCCCCACAGGGGCCCCACAGGGGCCCCACAAGGGCCTTACTAAGGGCTTCACT